TTATAAACACATATTTCCTTTTTCCAGAAAATCATGCAAGAAGAGAGGTCTAGTGGAAGAATTTTGTTGGGTTCCCCTCAGTCTATCTATGTCGAAACTGTGGCAATTGAAACTGCTATCAAGATTTCTGTAAAACAGCCAGTCGAGGGGTGGACTGTTGGAGAGATTAAACCAGAGGTAGTTCCACAACTGCAGTTTAATACTTTCTCTATAACTCTACAGTTATTTAACTTTTTTTAATCCATGCATAACATTTTTTATACAACCCTTTGAACCCTGTCCCAATCCTAACATTTTTGTCAGAACTTGTAGTTTCGTTGGGTTTGGTATATGTTTTCTCATGCAAGTAAGAAATTATGCTGTAAAAGGAAGAAACCATCATCGTGTATTTAATAACTATAGGTATGTTTTTTCCTGCAATGGATACACAAAAAATGAAAAAACTAAAAGTACAAAAAACAGCACTAGACATTTCCTTTGAGGGAAATTTGGCAGCTTTAAAGAATGAAAAGTGTAATTAAAGAAATTTGAAAAGGGAAGAAGGTCAGGTTGATTGCAGGGAATGATTTATATAAAAATTGTATTTATACTATTGATCATTTACGTTGATGTTCCCATTTCTAGATAGAAAAGAATGAAATTTCACCTGACTTATATTCTTTTAATCTCACAGTGTATCACACAAAAACGTTTGAAGGAATCCTATCAAATGATACCCAGAGCAGAAATACTTTTTAAACATGACAATGGTCGCAACAGAGATTTCCTTTGTATATTTGAACTAACTGCTGGAGAATCAACAACAACAACAATTTGTGCAGTTGCCTCAATTAAAGAGGTAGGTGTCATTTTGTGTGAAATTATTATTTTGAAGTAGTACATTCTTTAAGATTAAAAAATGTTTGGCAATAAGTTCGGTTAACGTCTGTTATTTTTACTCGGAAACTAGTGCTTTTCTAATCATTTGAACTTGTTTAGCTCCTTATATCTAAGACTATTTGCATACAGCGTATAATTTGAAGGTGTAATTTTGAAGCCACTACAAAAAAACAACTATTAAGCCCCACTGATATCCAGTCAGATGTCAATATTCCTTCATTTTCTTTTGTATGGGCCATAGGATGATTATCTGTGATTTAATTTAGTGAATTGAAAATATTTGGTTTTTGAGCGTTCTTGTAGAAATAGTATAACTTAACTGCCTACCTTTTCCTTATTTTGAGGTAATGTACGTATTTCTTTAGGACCCATTTAGGAGGTCTCAGAAGCAGCAACCAAGCTCCAGTACTGACCGCCATCGGTTAGTGACAGGCAGGAACTCGTGTGGTAAGGCCATATGCTGTGCCTTCATTGACTTTTCGAATAGTCTCATTCGCAGCCGTTGTTTGGAATCGTCACGCAACGCTGTCTCTCCTCCTCTCATTATACTAAGGAGAGAGCGCGTTGTGTGACGAGACTACACAACGACTGCGAAGGAGAATACAGTTAGAGTAACTGAAACAGAGTGAACCACTGTGAAAGAGGTGCTAATTAACCTAATTGCCCAAAAAATAGTATTAATCAAATGATGCTCATGTAATAGTGACATTTTTCCCTAGTCAATCTTTCAAACTGCAGGCAAATGTAAAGGAGTGACATTGAAACTTTCACCAGTAACAAGTAACCCTTGGCGACTTGACCATCAACCATTTTCATTCAGTGAACAGCATTACCTGTGCTGCACTTAATAACCCATATATATATTTTTTGTAGATCCAGTCATTATTAATGAAGAAAAGGCGTCCCTTTATCTTGAAAAACTCCCAAAAGAAGTGTTTCATACTGTTTGCATGACACTGGATAGGCCACTCAAAGGAAAAGGCAATTGGCGACATGTTGGAGCATCCCTTGGATTCAGCGAGGAAGAGATTCAGCGTTTTAGAGATGAGATACTAACTCCTGAAGGAAGTCCTAGCATGGTGATGTTGGGGGCGCTGATAGCTAGGCAACCGCTGTTCACTGTAGCAGAATTAGTGCAGATTCTTCAAGCTAGAAATGTTAAGCGCTTTGATGTTGTAGAAATTCTTGAGCCCTATTTGTATGAGCCAATTCCAGTGTAGCATAAAAATGTACTAAAATGGTCTAAAATTTGAATGTACACACTTAAAGGAATAGGAAAATGAGGAAATAGTACGTATAATCACTACCTTAAAGATGTTAGGCATTACACGAGAAAGACATCAGTTTGTAGACTGAAGTCGGTGCACAATAGCATTTGTAATGAACACCTTTTTTCCAAATAAACTTTGGGGCTTGTGGTGAAAAACAAGGAACGCATTACAAGTTTATTTTCCATGATTGCATCAATATCTAGCCAGTAGCACTTCAGGGAAATGCAGGCTACAATTATATTTCAATTAATGGTCGTGTGAAAGGTATTACACTTTTCACCAAGTCCCTGAATAAATCATCAAACTAATGATTATGAAATTGGAGCTAACAACTGTCTCTGCTGTGATTTTTCGAAATGTGAATAGTTCACACCTTTAGAAATAAAAAAGTTTTTTCTCTTGCCTAAAAGAATTTCTCAATTTAAACAACTTGCACGCACATTGTGAAATAATGGTGCTCCGCATCTGAAATTTGTCGGCTGTGCATTACATCTGTTTTAAAAAAAAAGACAGGAGCCCATGGCTCCTTAAAAAAGATAATATCAAACAAAAGATAAGAAATTGATTCTAAAAAGAAACAAAGCCAAACAAATGAACAATCAAACTAAACAGAAAAAGGAAGAAAAAATTGGATAAAAGAGAGTGAACAATACAACTTAATCCCGTTGCCAAATCACAGTGCCTTACAAGTCTGGGCCCTTTTTTCATTCCATATTGTCCTCTGTACCCTTCACATTCGTCGAGGTCCTTAAAATCGATAACCATAAAACTGATCAATGTTGTCCATGCAGAATGGATCCTTTAATCACTGTTATTATACATTGTAGTCACCATCTGTCTTCTCATTGGCTAAACGCCCACAGTTAATTCTGGGAAACAACGCAACCTAAAGATTATTCACTGATCTGTGCCTACAGATTAATGAATAATCTGCAGATTGCGCGCGCAATGCATGATTTCCGGTGGAGCAATGTCAAGATCACGGACAGCGAAGTAAGAATGGCTTCTCGATTCGCTTCATCGACCCAGCAAGAAATTGAGAAATTACTTGAAGATGAAGATTCGGAAAATACGAAAAGATCGACAAAAGTGGCGAAGGAACAGTTCTACAAATACCTTAAAGAGAAAAATATCCA